TCAGCTTCTCTTTCACATGTAAATGTGGTTATTAATGCCCCAATGCTCATATTGACGCTCGGTGTCTTTGGCGAATCTCCAATCCTGACAGACGTGCACCCTCCACGTGGGTCCGTTGAGGTCTCCGCTGGCGCCGTGGCTTTGCACACACTGCAGAAGGGCTCTGCATGAACTCAGACCAAACCGCGTGTCCAAAACCATACCAAAGAAACAGAGACACATTGCGGGGTTCAGCCACACAAGGTCTTCACGGCGCTCGGGAGAGACGCAGATACTAGGGTGTCTGTGTAGATATACGCTAAAAAGAGTAAATGGCACATCCCACAGAGTGAGACTTATGCTGCTGTGGAGTGATTTTGAAATGAATCCATTTCCCTGTAAAAACACAGGGTGTGAGGGTTTAGTTGAAGTGGGAACGAAGTGTAGGATCCAGTGGTGGATTATGAGATAAAATAGCCCTGGGGGGGGAACTCGGAAAAGTCATTAAAACTTGAAAGGAAACTGGGCTCCAGTATAACAGGAGGAGCTGAGACACCACCCTAGACTAAAAAAAAAAGCCAGTCCAAATCCTCTCTACATTTCTAATAAAAACAATGAACGATAATTTTGATCCGTGATTAAACACAAAAGCTTATCAGCAAGTATCACAACATTAAAAATTCTTTGGTCAATCAAAGGTGTTCAGTTACCAAGGCCTACGTGTTGTATATGTGCCTTAATGCTACTCTGTTACATACTGCAGAAAGCCTAAGTTTGCTCTGAACCCATTAGTGGTTCATGCTGATGATGGACACCAGGGGGTTAGGGACACTCTGTTCTACATTTAAATGTAAATTCACAGATGAATGCGACAGAATAAAACCAAGGACCATGGAGAGTGGAAAAAAAGCATTAATGTAACATTCACATTATATTTTTAAATAGCCGCTAATTCTGAGCCTCTCCTGCCACACTATGGGTCACTAGGGATCATCATGCAGGCTAATTCTACTCACGCTTAGAAGTGCATAAATCACAAACAGCAGCAGCCTGTGAAATCGAAATGCAGGCGAATCACACCGCAGCCCGGGCAGGGATACCGGGAAAAGAAGACAAGCGGAATCACGCCCAAACAGTGACATACAAGCCTTTTTTTGACAGCGTAATAGGGTTTTATAAAAGTGCAGTCAGAAGCTCACAAAGACTGGTGGGCGCCTGGTATTCCGGACCTGTGCTAACAAGACCATCCTTTCAGTGTCACTCACAAGTGTAAAACCACCCATGCAAAATACAGGAGAAACCGATTCAGTGCTTTACATGTGGTGGGTTAACATACCTGGATCTACCTGACCCCCCCCCACAAACGCTCGCAAAGACGCCCGGTCATTGAATAAACAGTACAGATGCCCCCCCATCCCCCGTTGGGTTTGAACACCCTGGCAGGGACCCCCCCACCACTGTCGGCTGAGCCACATTACCTGCGTATGACCAGTCGATGTCCTCGGTGAACTTGCGCTGCGTCCTGTAGTAGCCATACGCCACGTCACCTGGAGCCAGAACAGGAGGAGAAGTGGTGGGTCTCAGTGTGGTGGGTCTCAGTCTCAGTCTCTCCCTCCCCGTCTCACAGAGGTTAACAAACAGCCAAGGGCCCAGCTAGGAACTCTGGGCCTCCTTAGGAAACGTCACCTCGAGTCCCTACCCTGGGGCCCCCATGTCCCTACTGTGCCCCCCAGAAAGGGTAACACATTTTCAGGTTACATAAACATCTGGAAAGAAACCATAAACACACGTGGCTAGAATAAGCGTTTTGGCAAAGTGCATGAAAATTATTTACACTCAGCTACATTAAGGTAATTCAGAATTCCTTTGCATGTGTTTATAAATCTTTTTTATGCATTACTTATCAGAGCCAAAATCTGTTCCCTGGAGCTGAGCGGAAGGACACAGACCCACAGAATAACCTTGCAATTCTGCACTTTCCTTCAGTCACAGTTTATTCCAGGACCTTTACGATGCTTACAAAGTCAACCATGCACTTTAAATAAATGGTACTGATCCTAATTATTATCTATTAATCACAAACTACGGACAAACACTTGTCTGTATGTTTACATATTATTCCGCAGATAAAAGTGTCTATTTAGAGGAAAAATTAATGAGCATCTTTCCAAGAGCACTGTCTTCAGCAAAATTTAACAAATATTTTTGGAGCAGATGCATTTTCTGTTGCAAGGGAATGAACCTCTAAAGTCCCTCAGCTGACAGTGAGATATCGTATATATGGGGAGGGGGTTCAGTCATTCCTGTTGCTGTAACAGTGACCAGCCACCGGGGGCACACAACCTCGCTGTGACGAGTCCAGTCTGGGTGGTCTACCTGCCGGCATTGTTTACTCGCGCCATCCATCTGCCACGTGTGGAGTTCACAGTAAACTGGAGCTCTCACTTGGGGTGACAATGACACATCTGTCATTTCCCCCCAGAACCTGGCCACACCCATCCCCTCTCCTTCTCCTTTCACGGTATCATTTTTGTTTTGACTTGCGGCATGATGTCTGAAGCCACAGAGAAATATGGCCGCCACATGGTGCGGTGGGGGAAACCGAGCCGATGGTCTGAACCTCAGAGCTCATCTTACACCCCGGCAGGTGTCATTCTTCAGAAACGCTTTTCTCTCGTCACGGATCAGGAGACCCCCCTCCCACCCTCACCCCCCTGACTGAAACACATTCCAAGGCCCCATCTGACTGGGCCGACCCTCCTGGCTCTGTATAGCCCGTTCAGAACAGGGCTTGACAAATTACCAGCTGAACACCAGCTGAAGCTATAGAAACTATTTACAAGCTACAGTCAGAGCCGCACTCCGTTAGGCTGAAAGCCTGCCCCAGATACCAATGTAAACGGGATAGTGGCTTTTTGTATGGCCTGGTGGCCTTCCTAATCCACTTTATCTGTAGATTTGGGGTTTGGTTTCACTCAGTCAGCCTGCTTTTGTATGCGAGGGACTCTTTTTGAATCCTTTAGTTTGTTTTTGTGCTGGGGGAGGTGGAGAGTCATTGAGATTAATACTAAAAGCTACCTAGATATACATACACCTGTTTCTTTGGGTGAAAACTTAATAGTGAGAAAAAAAAACAAAACAATTTATCTAAGATTATCCATCCACCTTTCAACCAGTTATCCTGGATGGGGGGGGGGAGGGCAATCCATCATGGGGCGCAATTTGGAGGTGCCAATTCGCCTCACTAGATATCTTTGGACTGTAGGAGGAATGTGGAGCAGATCAAGACATAAAAATAAAATACTCCACATTTCTGCACAGATGATTTTACCATATCTTTTTCCCAACAGTGTAATACAAGTTTTATTTATTTTGCAAAATAACCTCTCTAAATAAACAGAGCAGAATAATTATTGACAAAGTCCTTCTGTCAAAAAAATGTATGATTCACTCGAGGAAGTAGAAATGTCAGCGGAATCTGTCACCAGAAGGAAATGGGTTGTGATGAAATGCGATGGGGTCAGGATGTAGGATGACCCGGTGCAGACCCAGACACCCCGTCCGGCCAGTGCTGCCACCGGATATTAAGCCAGGGAGGACTCACCAACCCCCCCAGGGACCGACCCACGGACCCGACGGCATGCCAGCTTATTAAGGATGGTGTGGAGATGACATCTTTGGGTTTTAATCTCTCGCACCAGAAGGAGCACTAGAGGGTGTTAATGATCCCAAAAAATGCTCGACCGCGTTCATCAGTGAAGCCGCAGGAACGTGACGCTCTGGTAGGTCAATGACAGGTCAAGCGGTGGCACCGTGCCGGGTCACGGAGTCGGCGTAGGGCACAGGCGTTAGACGCGGGACAGGTGGCCCGGGGAGAGCAGCGGACCTGCTGGCATGAAGTGGACACGGCTTAGCAACACAAAAGTGTCGCAAGATGCAGGTCACGCCAAGAGTCACCCCTGTATGCTGCCATTCCCGCAGTTTACAAATGTCTTATGCAAAACATCCATCCTATTCAGGGTCACATGGGTCCAGAGCTGATCCCTGAGGGTATGGGGGCAAGGCAGGGAACATCCCTGGATGGGGCGCCAACCCATCACAGGGCACACTCACACCAGTCACTCACACATGCACACCTACAGGCAATTTGGTAACTCCAATTAACTTCAGCATGTTATTGGATTCTGGGGGGGGGAAACCAGAGTACCCAGAGGAAACCCCACGATGACACGGGTAGAACCTGCAAACTCCACACACATGGAACCATGGCCGAGACTCGAACCCTGGTCCCAGAGGTGTGAGGCGACAGTGTTAACCACTGTGCCTCTGTGCTACCCCTTGTACAAAACGTAGATAACAAAATCCAGAACAGGCAGTTTGGTTGGGCTTGGCCGCAGGCCAGGTTTTAATGGCCATGTACAAATCCTGAAACAAAGTAAGCAGGAGAGCTGGATCCCCGACGCTTTGGGTCCGATGAGCCTGGAGCGAGACCCAACGCCGCCTACCCTCTATAATTATACCAAGAAACACGTGATGGTCAATGCTGGTGTGTGCAGCGAGGTTTAACAGCATTGAAATACCGTACGGAGCAGGTCTGTGACATGTTAGGGCACGCCAACACGCAGAGCACAATCATAGAAGGCAAATCAGCACACCGGAACGATTGTGGGAACCCAGGAACCAGTGTTTGATCAGCCGAAAGGCTTCTGCCAAACGTAAAGACACTTCACAGAATAACAGCACAGTCTGAGTGCAGCGATCTGAAGGCAGTGTCCCAGGACATGAGCTTGGTCTTCGCTTACAGTCTATTTTTTTAATAACCAGTGATAAAACTGGGCAAAGTTATCACAGCAGAAAAACTGAAAGCAAAAGCTTTAAAATGAAAAGGATCCTTTGTTGCTGAAATGTGACCAATGCTGGTAGAACACAGAGCTTTGTGTATCTGTGCAAACATGTGCTGGTATGATGACATGACGCATCACCTGAATAACATGGAAAAAAATAAGGCAACTCAAAGAATATCATGCTTGCGGAGGTCAATGCCACACAAACAAACGGTGCCGAACACTGTTGGAGCGTGCGGAGGTCAATGCCACACAAACAAACGGTGCCGAACACCGCGGAGCGTGCGGAGGTCAATGCCACACAAACAAACGGTGCCGAACACTGTTGGAGCGTGCGGAGGTCAATGCCACACAAACAAACGGTGCCGAACACCGTGGAGCGTGCGGAGGTCAATGCCACACAAACAAACGGTGCCGAACACCGTGGAGCGTGCGGAGGTCA